GCCTCGCCCCGGGCGCCGGGGTCCTTGGGAGCGCCCGCAACTTCCTTCCCCGCTCCCGCCTTGCGCCGCGGATCCGAGCAGAGGCTTCCGCGCAGGAGCTCGCGGGTCCGCTGCTGCCCGGCCGGGTCCCAGCCCCGGAACCCGCTGGTTCGCTCCCGGGCCTGAGCGCCACGCCGCGTGCGCGCCCGCGGGGGTGTGCCTCCGACCCATCCTCGCCCTCCCCCGCCACAAGTGAGAAACAGGATTTCGACGATAAAGGTTCTCAATCCTGCGAAAAATCTCAGACCTAAGGAAACTATCTGTTTTTTTCTGTGGAAGTTTTTGTTTTTGCCTTTTACTGTGTCTTTTGTAGGTCACAGTGTCACATTTTGACTACCGGCCCCAGAATCAGGGGTCTAGCTTGCTAAAATGCATACGCCTGGCTTTTGCCTCAGACCCACTTAATCACTGGAGTGAATATACTTGAACTTGCACTATTAGCTAAACCATGGAAGATTGTCTTCAGTAATTTTTTTAATTGAAATTGAAAAGTTAAAAAAGTGAAAAATGTTCTTATAATGAATGTGTATTATATTTTAAGCAAATGAATAGGGTTAACAAAATTAGTCTTTTCCATGAGTTGTGTATTTCAAAAAATATTAAGAATGAAAGGCATATGTGTCTCCTGTTGCTAGTTTTATATCTGAGTTTGTGGAAGAGTCAACTTAAATCATGATTCATTCCGACCTCTCGCTGGTCCTCGCATCCTGGAGGGCGGCAGCACCACCCCAGAGGGATAAAAACCTTTAAACTAACCTGAGGTAAATTCCATTTGTAAGCTGAAGACTAGAAGATACACTTAATTTGCAACCTTCTGGTGCTTTTGTTATCTTACAGCATTATGACAGCTAATAAAGAGCAGTAGCTCCTGCAAATATAACCAGCAGTGATGCAAAAGAGATTGATTTAATTAATCTTCCCAGTTGTCAAAAGCTAAAAATAATAAGGAAGACTGTCAATAAAATTGTGCATATTGCCACAGAGCTGCACCAGCTAACAATCTAGAGAATTTTCCTTAATTGTGCGTGGTGTGAGTTGTGTGTGTGTGTGTGTGTGTGCTTTTAATGTACCATCAATAAAGAAGAGCATATTTCTATAATTTCAAAACTGTTATACAGATTTATTGCAATCCTAGTCAAAATAACACTAGCATACCTCACAGAAATAGGGATAACAATCTTAAAATTTGTATGGAACTTGAGTCCCAGAATAGAAAAAGCAGTTCTAGGCAACAAAGGCCAGGCAGGGTGGGCATCACAGCTCTTAACTTAAAATTATATTACAAAGATACCATGATAAAAACAGTATGGTACTGGAAAAAAAAAAGAAACAGACCTGAGAATCAATAGAACAGATTATAAAAAAAAAAATACTCAGCTACCTTATCTGTGTATGACAAAGGGGCCAAACACCTTTACTGAAAGAAAGATAGTCTCTTTAATAAATGATGCTGGAAAAACTTTCTACATGTTGAAGAAAAACTTTCTACATGCTCTCTAAAGCTTAAAACTAGACCCATTACTCTCATATGCACTAAACCAAAATTGAAATTAATCAATTTAAGTATTAAAAAAGAAACACTAAGTCTTGTGGAAGATAGAATAGGTAACTCTTAAAGACGTAAGTATAGGCGAAGACTACGAACAAAGCCTTTATTGCACAGGAAATATTACAAAGTATGAACAACTGGGATCACATTACATTAAAAAGCTTTTGCAGAGAAAAAA